GAGGCTGTGTTATTCAATGCTGATTTTACGGTATAATTATAAGTATATTAGGGATAACTTTTTGAATTGTTAAAGTCTTAATTTGAATATTAATAAGTGAGATTAAATTATTAACTTTCAAAAAGAATGTAGAAATTGTTATTAGAAAATATTATTGAATTTTGATTGTTTAATGACAATTAAACACTAAATTGAATCGGTGAAGTTAATTCTAATTTATAATATAAGCTCAGATGATATGGTAAGGAAGGATTATAGACATAAACAGTGTAATTGTTAAAAGTAACATATAAGAACAAATTATCAGATTATATTATTACTTTTTTATCAACATTTTCACTATAAAGATTCTTTACATAATTATATTTTGGTAAATTTTACACATTCCAAACTTAAAAGCACATATTTTAATCATTATTACACAGATAAGATAAAATTAATTACTAATTTATTAAATTTATCTATTTGATTTTGAAATTAACTTGAATTAATGAAATTGGTATTGGATAGCTATTTTAATCAATTGAAATTATAATGACTTCATCAATATTATTGATATATATTAAGGATGATTATAATTATGAATTAACAACTATTTGAATAGGATTGAACTGAATCTTTTTGAAGAATTTATTTATTGATTATTATTCTATGGTTTAGGGGTTTGTAAAATTAAATGTCAATATTTTAATTTTTTACTTTTTTTAAATTAGAATTATAATACTATTATAAGTTATTACAAATTCTGATATTTCTTTTTCACAAGTATAATTTGAATAACTAATTATACTTTGGCTATCATCATAGTATTAAAACAAATAAATTTTATCATAAGAACTAAGTCCAATTGTCACAATTAAAGGATAAATACTATAGGCAACTTATAAAGAACTTGCTTTTACCGAAATATTAATTGAACTTAATAAATTACATTAGATGGATTGAGTGAATTAACAAGACTAAATATCAATTGATTAATTATTATATCCAATTAAATATTATTCTACTACTAGATAATAATTTATTACTAACGATTATACTAATTAATAAACCTAAGTAATTTCGCCGACATTATCAAATGTTTTTTAGGTTAAATTAAAATAGGCTTGGTTTTTACTTAAATTGTAATTTAGTATTTATCCAGAATAACCATAAAATGAAATTTAGTTTGAATAATTATATTAAAATACAGCATTTTCGAACCCCTTATTAGACATTACATAAACATTTGTGTCATTCTTCAATAGTATTTTAAAATCAATTTTAACTAGACTTAATTATGTAGGCCTAAGTTAATCCATACATATTAAAGTAAAATTGTATAATTACTGATATGAAGTTCTTGGTTAAGTCAAGTTTATTTATATAGACGGCAATGAAATTAAAAAAACTAAAATCTCCTAATTAAATTAAAATAACTCATTATCATCATTGAAATAGAATAGTGAATTGCTTTAATTAAGATGATAAAAATAATAACTATTTCCTTCAGACTTTTACATAATAACCCTTAAATTAGTAGATATATATAATATAAATTAGTTATTTTAAAGTATCTTCTAAATAGATTGACAAGAGTTAACTGGACAAAAATCAATTACCTTGATTATTTACCCTTCGCATCCCAATAATTGAGCTATTTTATAATCATATAGATTAGAATACTATTCGATATATAACAATTTTATTTGATCACATTAGGAATAACTCCAAAAATTGTAAAAAGCATTAATAATAGTAAAATTACTCATACTTGTCGAGTTAAAATTATATTTATAACTAAATGTAGAATCTGAAGATATAGATAATTAGAATATCTCTTTATGAGTTATTGCATAAATATTCGGACTTATTGTAATTGGAACATCAAAATCAATAAATTAGTATTGATTTAAACTACTTTAATTTTAAAAAGAGGATGATAATAGTGAAAGTATTGAATATTTCTCAAAATATTAGGCATAAACTAAAAAAGCATTTGTTTCATTAAGAATTGATTAAATTTTAGTTGAAGCAGGTATGGACGACTATATAAAATAAGCAATTTTTTATTATTCATCCTTTATTTGAATTAAAAAGAGTTCATTGTTTTAATAACAATCTATCAAAATTGAAAAATTTTAAGACAAATTGATATTAAAACAATTAAATGATAAATTAATTGTCACATTTTAACCTACTTACTAAATCTTTTAATTCTTCCACTCATAAATTGTTACTATATTTTCTTTTGACAAGGTACAAAAATGTGTATTATTTGAAGACATTGAAATAAATTCTAAAATTATATTTTTAATATTTTACAATCCCCTTTTATTATAGAAATTTCTTCACATTAATTTATTAATTATAAATTCGAAACTTAATGATCAATTTTACATATTAATTAAGAAGATGGTAGAAATCTCTACAATTAGTTTTAATAAAGTTCACCTTCTGTTGGGTATAATTAAAATTGCTGCTCTGATATTATTTAAGCACAGATATTGATTACATGGATCAATAAGATCAACATCTGATTTTCAAAATTTATTATCAATTTTTTAATATTATTATAGAATTGTGAAATTTTTAAAGTTTTATATCAATAAATATATTAAAGTTAATTTAATTGATAGGAATATTAGGTATGTTGATTACTTTTATTAATTGGGTTTTGTGTAGAGTGTTGAAAAGTTATTTAATTTTAATCTTCTTTGGGAGAGATCGATGGTTATAACTCATTTACCTCACAGGTTTATGTGGATTGATGTTTCGAATTTATTTTGTTGTTTGTTTTTGTTTTTCATTCTTATCAATCTGTTATTTAAAAATATCGATCATGCTATAAAAATAGAACGAATATTTAAATTGAATAAGAAAAATAATTATCTAAACCATTATTTTATTTTTTTTAATTCAAAGAGAAAACCCTTAACAAATAGATGTTTCTGATATGTAGAAAATAGATATTATTATTAAATATATGAATTCACTCAATTTTAATAATTTTTTTTGCCTTTAATTGGGCTCGTTTTAATATAAAATATTAACTTTTTCAGAAATTTTAATTATTAAGGATATCTCTGATTTTATTAAAATGGCCTATTGACTTAACAATTATTAATAAATTTGCATCATTCGATTAGAAAATTAATTAAAGTTATGGATATAGACTTATTTTATCGATTCAGAAATATTTAATTATAAAAAAGAATTATTACAAAAGAAAGATTATATTATTGTTAAGAGAGCTGAAAAGACACTATGTAAAGGGAATAAAAAATTTTATATAAAGAGGAAATTAATTTTTGTTTAAATCAAAATTGATTATCTTCACTAACCAGAGTAAGATACTTTCCTTTGTATGCACTGGGAATTTAAAGAATTTGAAGAAATTAAAGGTAAATTCTTAAGATTATAATATAAAAATAATATTCTAGAATAGATGTCTAAATTTTTAATAGAATTCGAATTATATGAAGGAATAACGCTATACTCCTTAACAAAATGGGAGATATATAAGTTGATCCAATTTCTGAAGTAAAGTGTCCTCAATCGATAAATTATTGAATAATGTTTTTTCGAAAAAAAATCTATTTTTCACAAAGAACCATAAAATCAGATAGCAGCTATTTCTAGTGCTTCGATTTATTTATTTATTATCAATAATTATCAAAATTATATACCCAAAAGATAATAAAATAGTACAAACCTGTTTGCAATTCATTTTAATTAAATGTTACTTATTCATGAGTTA